AGGGAGTGCGACTCACCCATCTTGTGCCAACTGTGCGACAGACCGCACCACACGCTGTTGCATCGCACCCCCGCACGAACCATTCCCGAGACACCAGTTGCCCACCGTAATGGGCGACGAAGACCGCAAGGTAAGGTAGCACGATCGCGGCGACCACCAGCACAACAGGGCCACCGCACTTTTAACCACCCCGGGGCTCGCTATCGTGCTCCAGCAGGGACCCATCGCCGGCACCAGCCTACGCAACGTCCCCGTCGTGCAACCGGACTACGCAACGTAGTGGAGACCCTGCAGCAACTTCAGCAACTACTAGGCTGAAGACTCGCCTTGGGGTGCCGGGATGGCTAAATGAGTTCGGCCATTCCCCCTTTTTCGACCGTGAATGGCTCCGTGACAGCTGCAACATTGCCTAATCGCCTACTCACCACGGCCCGTTCCACCCACGTACACATAATACACCTACACACACACATATACACATGAATTGTATTTACACATACACACACACATGAATTACAACATAATATGAAACAAAACACAATTTTGCGAATGTCATATCGAGCAGACGTGTTCTACGCTATAACCCCGCTAACGCAAATTTAATAAAGTGCATTAATATTCCCACCAAAAGGTTCTACGGTTTTTTTTCAAAAAAAGGTTCGAAGCTAGTGGTGAGTGTGCCCCCCAAAGGGTTTGCCCTTGGTGTACGATTGTTCATGGTCCTCCATCGCCTTACTTTACGGCACCTATAGAGAAACAAAAAAAAATAAAATAAAAAATTAATTCACATAAAAAATATACCTTACAGTCCACCAATAAAAACCACAAACAAAGTTTAAGAATTAAAAAATAAATAGTTCCATAGTGACCACATACTTAAATAAAAAGTGAAGAAGAGCGTACATACATACATTTATAAACTTTAACAGTTTATTCCGGGCGCGTCGCGTAACACTTATACACACTAAAAACAATAATAATTTCACATTAAATATCGGTACAAAATCGGGCGCGAAATAATTTTATGTAAAAACATAATTCACCCAACAAAAACAACACTATAGAAGGAAGCACTTTATCGCAGTTAGGCTCAACGAGGGAAACACGCAACGAGGAGGAAGTAGCAGGATCAGGAGCTTGGGAACTATATCCTCAAATAATAACCCATAATTAAACCCATATACCCCCTACCGCCAAAGTGAGTTGTACCGAACCAGTAAATTGAGAGTTTACATATGTACATATATACAAAAAAAAAAAAACCGATATTTACTGAAATTTTTCAAAACTATATATATAAATACACATTTACATACATAAATATACATATCGGTAAAAATTTACGGTTCCAAAAAACGGTTTGAACAAAAAAAAAAATCCGTATGTACATGCATATATACGCACGAAAAAACCCTTAAATTTCTGCTTTAGCTTATTTTTCGTGTTTAGTAACACACCAAAGCCCAAAACATACCAAATTCAAGTATCTACTTGCAATAATTGCCCAGCAATACCCCTTTTGCTTGTACTCATAGCAAGCAAAAGCAGGATTGCATACAAAATAAGCAGCAGAAATAAGACAGAACAATATCAACGAAACAAAAATTTTGCGCGAAAAAGATTGGCAAAACAAAGTAGAAAAGAAGTGGCAGTAAATACTGCATATTTATGTATGTAAACATATTATATTACAGCTTCTAAAACCCATAAATTGCAAATATCAAAAACACCTAAATATAATAGGTACCAAACAATAGCATATTTTATTTCTGTCCTCCCAGCATCTGTACCACGAAGTAATACACATACGTACATACGTGGAGGTAAACAATTATACAAACGCTTATTAGCCCCGAATCTGCATCGAATTGCACATAAAGAAGCATATGTACATACGGTCATTTGCAACTCATAGCCCATTAGAGACAAAGTTTATTACTCCCTAAGCTAACAAATTACTCGTACATAACTATATACAAACGGGCATACATCGTAACGAAAGCAACGAAATT